AACTTACAGGCTGATAAACGTTGCGCAAATCATTTGGTTATGCATTTAGTTGGCATTAAGCTGTGCTTCTTTGGTATCTCAGCATTTATAAACTTTTTGTTAAAATGAGTTTTCCTCCGATATTTATTTTTGCCGTCAACCTATAACACGGTTACTTTCATGGATTACCGCTTCTGCCTAACTTTTTGAATCATCCTTCTCTCTCTCCTGTTCTCATTGAGACGCTTGGACAGTTTCCGTTTCGCTTTATATATACTCGCTATATCTCGGTGTACTTTGTTTTCAATTGAACTCATGCCGGGTGGAGAAGTGTGTTAGCGTAACAGCAAAGAGAACTCAATGAGCTTCGATCGAATCGGATGTAGTTGGAAATATGGGATCCTCTTGTTTTCACTGATAATAAAAACAGAGGGATTCGTTTTATCCAGACGACCCCGAAACGTATAATTTACAGTTTATTCAGTGCATGCATTCACACATACTCACCTGTGTAGGAGCACAATGTGTTTGGCTGTCCGACTCAAGCAATTATGTAACTTGGACACCAGTTGTTCAAGTTCCTTACGCAATTGAGTTTGGTTTGTTGTGGCAGTCTCCTTGTTGCACGTACGAATCTTAGTGCGCAATACGTCTTCCATGTCGACCAGATTTTGCATTTCGATTTTCAATCGGTTCAGCGTCTGTTGTAGAGTGGAGGAACGGGTCGGGACAAATATAAATGAGTTGAGCAAGAACATGCAATCGAAACTTAATGGGATTAGGTCGGTTCACACTGGCTCACAACCAAATCATATCCCAGGTCATTCGGAGTGAAAATAGTATTTTATAAATGGACAGCATGGAAACCACCACATCAGCGGAAAATGTGGCCGACTGATGCTTATAACAATCTCACGTTTAACGACTTTAGGGTGAGCTGATACACAAAAGAAGTTTGCAAGCAGATCCTTCTACAGATGAAAAGCTGCCAAAAAAGAACTCGTGTGATAATCTTACTTGAATGTGAATTGCTTTTTCGTCCTCTGGTTCACCGCTGTCAGAACTTGTATCAGTAGCAAGCCTGTAAATGGATACAAATGTGGATTGGCCCGAAGAATGCACGAAAAATCTACATATTGCATAGACCAAACTGGTATTGTCTGGTGTCAGAAGATAGACAAACTTTGTACCAAAACGGAAGGAGATAGTGAAATAATTTGAACACAACGATTGTATTATTAATTAAGTACAATAATTGTTATATCATCGTCATGCTTGAGATTAGTTGTTTTCAGACCATCTTTCTTGTTTCAAGGAGAACCCCCCCCCCCATGGAAACAATAATGGTTTACTACAGAATAACTTTACCGAGGATACCACTGAAATGTAAGCATATATGCTTACACAAGTTACAAATACAATACAATACAATACAATACAATACAATACACTTCGTTTATGCTGAAGCTGCAAAAGAATACGGACCACAGGAGTTTCGCGATTGACGAAATCCTAATGATATACTAATTGAAAAAACATTGAACCGTATGTGTTCATCCCCTCCCCCTTTTCTTCACCTCACCGGATCTCGAAAAAGAGAACTGGTAAAATTGCACAAACCGTGAGTGTTTAGTTTTCCCATCAAAATCCATAATTCCATGTAAACTATGCGATCTATGAGGATACGGCCTAGATGATGAACGCTGATTCTCTCCAGATATGTGGACCACAATAGGGATTCCTTATCCAAACTTCGCGATCGGTCCTCGGCTTATACACGGCATCTTCGTTGTGCCGGCATTGTGGTAATCGGATATTATGCACACAATACTGTGTGAGTAGTGTGTTAGTTATCCGCCTCGACACTGAATATGAAGGTCCATACTTTAAACCACATTGTGCTCTTCCTTGAGACTGGGACAACTCAACTAACTTCGGCTAATTCAACGATGCTGCATGCGATAGTTCACCGGGATTTGGCTGCTATCTCAATCACACAGCTGCTAGGGTTCAACAGGCAAAAACGATATTCAGGTCAGGGAAAGAACGGATCTAATGCTGCTGTTGCACCAGTCACCTTATGCGGACATGGGAAAGATTCTGGAATCGTATTTTGTATTTTTTGTGGTTAAATCGGAGTGAATGCACGTGAAAAAGACACCTGGAGCTGAAGGAATCGCAATGAAAAAGTTTTTATTATCTGGTACATTCAGGCAATGAGAATTTTGGCTGTTCTTGCAATGCATTCAGTACATTGTTCAAGTTTCGATTGTCATCGCACACGTTTTATTATCAAATAGCATTGGTGACTAGTCTCCCTTCCCTTGCACCTTGTGAAATGCTCCCATACAACCAAACGCCTCATACGACATCTGCTGAGGAGGTTTCACTCACTCCCTTCGCGCAGCTGAGGTGTTTCCCCACCAAAATGACGGGGCGGAAAAGCAATATCCCAAGTTTTAATCGGGTTGGACAGCAACTGGCTTAGGGGGTTGGCTAAAATACTTGATGCCATAGCAACCAAGAACAGAGGTGCAAACTGTATCTGGACCTTCCTGATTCTGGCAGTGATAACCGCCTTGAGTGGGAATCAAAGTATACTGAGCAAGTTGGATGTTTGACTCTGTCCAAATAGCCCACTATTTGGACGTCTACATCTAATGAATTTCCATCACGGCGAGATTGCACCTTGACATGGTGTCATGGCTTATGCACCCTTCTGATCCAACGAGCTACACTGGATGGCTTTTTTCAAGCCCAAGATTTACTCACACCTGGAAGGTCAAAGGGTAGAGTTCGGACGAAGTTCAGTATCCTGGTCCTCCAGGTTGGGGGTTCGACTAAAATTTGCGTTTCAGTCGGTAAAAATTGTGGAGATTGTGTGATTGATCCAAGTAAATGGACTTCCACTTCGTTTCACCCGCTGGTTCTTTATCAGAACTAAAGGCTTTGGTTGAGAACCCTAATCGTTCTCCTGCAGTGACTGGACACCCTAGCAGTACCCGTCCATCAAACTCCAATGCATGTACATTGCGAGTTTGGCCGCGATTAGTGAAGTTCGCTTCCCTGTATTTCGCAGTACGACGATGATGACGATGCCCTAATGAATTGCCGTTTTCACATACTATGCCAACGTCCATTCACCAAAGTGGTTTATCAATTATGAAAACTCCTGTTAAACTGCATCTTTAAGACGGAAATAGTAGTAGATTCAACGGGCGCATATTGTGCTTGAGAACCCAACCGAATTTCAATGTGTCAATCGGAAATGATCTGATCACACTCGTGTGACAGACAGGCTGAGGTGAATGAAGCTAATAGCATACACACCACAATAGTACATCAAAGTGCTCATAACCGCGTACCCTAACTGGTTCCAGCCATGGTTCATACCATTCAATCGATGAACTGCCCGGTCGATGTAAGCTTCTCATTGTTGTAAATGACGTTGAAGTGCTAAATCGGTACTTGTACAGTTGAGCCGTATTTATCAAAAGCGAGCACCATAATAGCTACGCGATGCGCGATAGTAACACCAGCATCAACAAGCTCTCTTGCCTCTTGTGCAGTCGCCTTCACACCCACAGAGAGAATGTGAGCGATCCCGTCTCGGAGATCCATAAATCCCCCATCCATTATGGCTGCTGCACTAACCGCCATTTCCTTCGATCTCTGAAGCACGCAACAGTAATCGAATCACCACCATAGCCCGATCTTACATTGTAGTCATTTAACGTCAAGCCTATTTAATGTTTGGTTGCCATGTTCATACACTGATGCAACCACATGCCTTCTGGATGGGCACGAGTAAACAAGAAAACTCAGAAGATTGACGACCGTATTGCGTGGGCCATAAACGAGAGGGAGTTCGTGTATCTGTTAGTGCACACTTGGATGCAGAGTTGACGTATGAGTGCAATTCACTCCACTTTCCGTGACCTGCCCTTCATACAAACGTGTGCAAAATGTATTCGATTGACCAACATTAGTTCGGTGGATTTCAGAGGAGCTTATAGACAGGCTGTGGACTGAAGCTGAAGAAAACTGTAACACGGTTGTAGCAGTTCACACGCGAGGAATACCGGACCTTACGAGGCCCTGTTCACAAATGTATCAAAACCTGTATGTGATCACCTCGATTACCTCGGTGACAATCTCATGATTTGATGAGTGTCTGAAATATGAAAAACTGGTAGCAATGATGAGAACAAAATTTGAATGTGTCCAATGTTTTCCGGGGGTCAAATATCCATCCAGAATGGCTCGCCCGTTTTACCAACCACATTAGGAAATCACACTATTGCTGCGTGGAGTACGGTAAGACGGATCGCTCTTGGTTGAGAACTACCACGGGACGCGTTCGTGTGCCGTGACTGAAATGTAAGAAAACGATTAGGCATTTGAGGGGACTAAACTTTTAGCGTAGATATTTCAGTTTTTTATACCGTGCATTAAGCAACTCTGTGGAGAGTGTGTTGAATCAGGTCAATGCCATGGTCACGATAGCAGGTGCTACAAACCCATAATTTATATTGGCGAATGGAAAGAGGCCTCAGTAAGATAGATACGCTATTGGATGGTGGTGATTGTATGGTAGCTAAAATATTTTGCCGATTGTAGGTTGACTTGAAGCGACAATTACATTGATAAATTTGTGAATTTTAAAGCCAATATGATGAAAAACCTTGATCGATCAATTGATTGATTTGTCGACTGACTAGACAAGTTTACTCCAAAAGGTCGCAATCGTCCTCTAGATTTGGTAGTCCCCCCTCAGTGTCACCTTTTTGTCCATCGAAATACGATAATAATACTGGGAAAGTGAATGGGACTTACTTTTCTGTCGGACTCTCATCATTTATTGATCTGTGCAACAAACCGGGATCTAATAAGCGCCATACAATCTGAAAGTGAACGTGAGTGGAAATGGTTTAATTTCAATACGAAAGAACTTATGGCAATGTCAGAATGATTGGTATTGATCCAATTGAATGCCAAACAATTATCTTAACGCGGCAAATTCAACCGTTGGGAGTTCGCTTGAGATGTCCGACAAATAGGAAGCTGAGCCGATTGAGTGCATGATAGAAAAAAGGAACCGGTGTGACAGTACATCGGTGCTTTCGCTCCAAATTCTCAGTGGCTCCATATATCGGGTCGGATTTTGGAGTGGATAAAGTGACAATATCACAGTTCCGTTTTCTTATGAGCAGTAAACACGAGCAATCGACAACAAACTCGACTCTCAACGAACCGAAGATCAGATTGACAAAAATGGTTGAAACCTGGGGCTTTAGAAAAACCAGAACCGGAGACAGCGAGTTTACATAGTACAGGTGAAAAAAGCTTATTTCGCTCAATTAAATGGTCAGTAATGATGATGAAGTACGGAAATCACTATGAAATTCAAGCACACACTGGAATTTTCTTATATGTTGAAATGCCACGATGTCAACAGGTAACCAATATGAACCAGTCAACCAAGATATGAGAACAACTACATAAATAAGATTGGATGAGATTCACACAATTCCGTGTGTACGCGTCCCAATTCCAATAAGCAATCTTGAGGGTTTCTTATATGAATGACTGTTGACTGTTTGTTTTCTGCCAGTCAATATATCATATCAATGTGTCACCTTCCATCGCTGTGACTGCACTTGCCTTTGCAACTTGCCGCAACCCAGTCTTCACACAACTGTGACGGAACGCTTCCGATTAGACGATTCCGTAGATGAATTTCGAGCAGCGTTTTCAGCTGTAGCACATATAACCTGTTGCGCGAGTCAGTGTTATGTATCGGTGAGTTAATGTGCCCCAGGTAAACGGTAATGAGGAAAAGAAGTGGTTTGAAGTAGTGTTTACCAGATACCATTGAGAAAACCAGTCGATGAGCGAACAATTGTTTTCGGATATTCCTTACATATCATATGGTGGAAAAAATTCTTACATAATCATAGCAATTGGCTTATTTTAAAGTCACTATTCGGGGGGGGGGNAGCCAATTGCTATGATTATGTAAGAATTTTTTCCACAATATGATATGTAAAGGAATATCCGAAAACAATTGTTCGCTCACCGACTCGTTTTCTCAATGCTATCATGGGAATATTCAAGCTTTTACCAGATATGCTGAACGTAATGAGACTAACTTGCTCAACCGATAGTCCGTTAAGTACAGAAAGCATTGCTTACAAGAAACGATGTCAACCTCTGAGCTTGCAACAAAATTGAATGACAGTAGCAATTGCGGATTCTGTGTGATAGTAACATTCATCCACTGGGTTCCGTAACCAGTGTTCGTATTTCTTAAACACACACAGAGACCATTGATGCACATCTCATCCGCTTGACTTACTCGGCCCGTTTCTATCACAGTCATTCCATAGTTGGTTATATTCACAATTTGCCGGGCAATATGAAATAGGTGTTCCCGTTGCGTCACCAGTTCGGGAATTTGTCGAACCAAACGATGCGTGATCTCGTTGACACAGACCTCGAAATGTCTGAGTGGTCGAGTCAGTCGTTTTGGGGCGTCAAACCGTCCGAAGATAGTCGAATGCCGGCGCAACCCATCCAGGCGTATTGGGTCGTTCAGTGGAAGCTTCAAAATCTCCTTCGTGAAGGCCACAGGGGATAAAAGTACAAAAGAAAAAAATCAACAGATTACGGCGAAATTTGACGGAGTAGAGTTTGATAAGCAGTCGGGGGAATGAAAGACTATTAACTCAATGTGGACTGTGTTTTGCAACAACAACAGCCGCGGTAATCATCCCCAGTTCGTGCAGTTCGTTCNTGAATGAATTCGCCGGGGATAATGTCACCAGAAAATCGCATCAACTTTTCCGAAGCAGATTATTAATCTGAAAAACATGACTGATAAGAGTAAGTGGCTATGAACTGTCCCCGTTTCTATCGGAAATCATTCACTGTGTTATTGGCTTGTTACAACGTGTTCAGTCTTGATTACACATAGAAATATAGAAACATGGCATTGGTTAGAAATAGGTTGTGAACCACAGAATTATTTGACACGACAGATCGTTCGATGTGATACCTGTGTATCCACAAAACCTTTTTATTCATACATGTCGACACTGCAGATTGAAATCAAATCTGAAGCATGATTATCGCCAATTTATATGAATCAAAATACCTTACTACATATCCATTGCTTAATGTTGACACTTTTGTAAGCGCCATAGATGTTTGCATTAGATCGCTAGAACTTGTCCAAAGGTTAGTAATAAATAAATGCGATTGGGTTGAGGTGTCCGTACTCTTTTGGAAGAGTTGTGTTTATGCACTACCATTCTGTATCTCATTGCCAACATTACATCCATTTGGTACCGACTTGAGGTTGTTTCCTTGTCAATCATTAGAAAGAAAATAACCATAGGCCTACTCGGGCTCAAAATACTTACCTGTATTTCTTTGTCATTGATACTTCGTGTATTCATCTGCCTTAACGGGAATGAAGGCAAATGTGGGATCATCGCGTTCACTGCCGCAGTCAACTTTTCCATGTCCGCTTTCAACAACGAAGCACTGGGACGCAAAGCCATGGACGGATTGTTTGTGGATGTCAAGTGGAACATGAGCTGATCAGGAACAAACGAGATTGGGGATGATACGCGATCCATTTCTGTTTTCATGAGCACATTCGAACTCTCATCCATGGGCGACGTGAGATTGGGTTGAGAGAACTGCCGTCCCATTCCGTTTAATTCATTCTGTGTCGAGAGTTCATTCGGAATTTGGGCTGACCATGGGTCCGGCTCACAACTACTCCGCCCGGATCGAGGCTGTTGGCCTGGTGAGATAATCGGGGGCAGTGAGTTGGATTTGGTTGTTGCTGGTGTAACGATGGTCAGACCAGTTGGTGGGCTTGGTGCTGATGCTACTGGAGTTGAGAGTGCACTGATCAAGAGCGGGTGGTGTGACGGTGAATCTGGGCCGAAGAGGGAGAGGATTAATTTGACTAAACGAGATTCAAGTAGCCAGCATAGAAACAGTAGAACGTGTCGTTTTGTTGTACACGCGCTTATCAGCTCCCCATCGTGTCGAGATAAACTGGAGTCGGTTGTCACGACGACCAAACCGATAAAGGTTTACGTTCACACTGCATTTGTCACCTTGCTGAGTTATCTGTATAAGGCATGCGTCCCAGTCGCAATTGACTGACTCCTCGATGAGGTCGAGTGCGATTACGTCACTCTTACCGCAGTGAATGCGTTTCGAGTATGCCCAAACAACATCCGGCTTGCGAACTCATTACGTGAAACCAGAATCGATTTACGGATTAACATTGGCTCGGAACCATGAGGTGTGAAGCGCAAGTGAACTTAGACGAGGGGTTAGAGTGCGTGCGAGAGAGATCAGAACCTCAAGCACGAGTCTGACGCATCAAACTGCCAATACAAAGCACATCATCATGGTGAACTCAGAAAGGCTGCCCCAGACTGTAGTTCTCTTGGTTCTATGCGAACAAAGTTAGACCAGTTATCTTACACCAATTTCATAATGAAGTGCAATAGATGAAAATAGAAATGCACACTAATTGATGATTTTGTGTTGAAATATTCATTCATCGGAGGAATCTGCAAATCCACTGCGCCTAATTTTGGTTGTAATTTTGTGTGGATCTATGTCGGTCAACAAAATTGTAGTAACTCCATACCCATCCACGATTACTGTTATCTGTCTCATGATGTGAACACGCGATCAAGATCATTCTTCTTAAACGTCTTTTATTTGATTGTGAGTGGTAGAAAAGTGAAGAGTTTATCCGCCTCTTCTTTCACTCTCGTGATCAATTATGTGCTCGAATCGGACTTGAGTGTTGTCCAATACGGGAATCAGTTCAATGTGGGCGCGGGAACACACAGAGTCCACATACACTCCACAAACCATGTATCACTCCTTGTCGCTGCAATTTCCCCCATAAGACGAGATGCGGAAGAAGTATGCTGAGAGCACATTCCGATCTCAATGACTTTCTTTGGGGGAGGGGGAGATGAACTCCAGACAATACATGTTTTTGAGAAGGGGGCCAGAAATGTGGCGGAAGCAGCTTCACATTCATTTCTCAACACACTTGAACGTCACTTCCAAAACATCTTTCAGAACAGTCATTCTGATCACAAAGATTTGCTTGAACCACCGGCATTGCTCGGTGTAGGTCGACAGAAATGCAAGTTGTGGATCATACATTTTCTTTTCATCTCTATCGCACAATTCAACTGACTACACATATTTACCTTTTTCTATAATGAACCAAATCTCTTTTGGAGTGAAAATGTTTTGTATCATCATCATCATCATCATCATCATCATTGTACAGCGTAGTGCATTGAAGCGAACTTCACTGATCGCCACCCAACTCATATTGCATACAAAGTAAGTGAAAATGTGTAGGGAGGAATGGGATGGGATCTATTTTTAGGGACGGGAAAAGAAAATGAAAGTCTATGATCTACGGAGTACACAGCCCAACTGTACGTGCACATGTTTTCAAACATTCTGGTCTGATAAGAGGTGACAACAAGAACGCCACTGCTGCCGGTTTGCCACCATGACTTTCAGTGCCTCCAACCGTTCAGTTGCAGTTTTTAAACCCAGACCCGGAAGGCGAGAGACACCGTTTTATGACACTTTGAGTGTGATGAACAACCGGCGGGCTGAACCCCATGGCTATAAGGACCTACTGTTCATTGATGGAAACCAGTAACCTAAGCTCTGGGACTTGGAGTGGCGAGCGACACAAAGCCCCTCTACCTAATTGCCCTGTGCATTTCTTCATGCCTCGTCTCGACATCTGCTGGCCTCCACGTGGATTTCTCCAGTCTGTAGCGGCCGCTGCAAATAAAGCGCGGTGCCGTAGGTGACCTTTAGTCATACACAAAACGTGTCCTAAATAATGGAGCCTATTCAGCTGAATTCGATGCGATAGCGAGTAATAGTCCCAAATAACAAACGACTTACTTCTGGGTTACTAAGCCGCTCACTCCATCCCACCTGGGTCAGACTACGTAAGCGTTGACTGTATAAACCACTCTATAAATAACTCCCGAACTTTTCACCTCTAATCGGAGAGAGTAGTAACACCAGATTTGGAAGAAAGCCTGAATATGGAGTGCACAGCGTCAATAATAATCGTGGTTTCCATACCGATGAACGCCTATAAACAAAAACTAGGCCTGGAGTCTATTCCTTCGTTATTTGGAATCAGATTATCGTTCTTCAATTCCCGATATGGCGACCGTAGACAGTTCTGGAGAACAGCAGTGTAACCGATAGCGACAACAACTGAAGCCGTTTTGGATGCGGCTACTTTTGGTACGTACTATACCATCCCTTCCTCACTATCTGCGCACTCGAATGAAGCGCTTTGTCTGTTTTCCGAACCATCCTATTTTTTTGCACTAATTCATGAGCTGATCAGTGGATGCTGGCAAAGGAGATGGCGAACACGACCTCAAATTAGATAAGCTAGCTAGTCGTAACATCTGAACAATGTTCACTACTCACGGAGGTATCTGAAGGATCAAGATAACAGTGAAGCCCATTAGTCTGAATTCGATGAGCTACCAAATTTATGCTCCATAAACTCCCCAACAAAAGACGGTTTACCTCCAGATTACTAACCCGCTTACTTCAACCCATGTGAACATTGTTAGTCTTCACTCAATAGCACGAATGTATAAATACCCAATACGGAAATGCTGATCTGTGATTTGCGAATAATTATGAAGTTTATGAACATCTCTGAATAAATGTCAAACATAACGTGCAAGTCATTCGACCACAGACGTGCACATTTTGGTACCACTGTTACGAAATCTCTGAATAGCATTGGATCTAGCGCACCGCTTCATGCCCTTCGACAAAACGATCGTGCCAGGAAAACCACTGAGGAAAATTAGTTAGCTACGCTAATTCCTTTACAAAAGTCTCTACAACTCTAGATAGCATTTCTACAACCACATACCTACTCATTCTGCATGTATCGCACAAACAAAAACGTAATTTGTATTGTTATTACTAGCCATTGTGTATCAACTGTTCAGATGACGAGGTTGTGGTGATTATTGTAATTGAACTCTAGTCAACATCATGCTAAGCATGGTTGAGTGAGGCCAAGGCTAATAAATACGAGTTGGCATATAGACGATGAATAGAATGTGTAACTGGAAACCGAACCCGAAACACAACTAGGAGAACGCAACCACACTGCCTACGTGATGATATCGATAATGTTTTACGTCTTGCATATAATGTGGAGTAATTTTAACTTGGGATGTAACACCTTTCATGTGTATTTATGCGATTTACAACAAACGCATTTTCCGGAAACAGACAGTGACCATATGAGAGCTATCATAGGATCGAATAAAGCCGATCAGACTGTTTCACCTATTCAGTACATAACACAGACGTGGTCAAGGGTGAGCCCGACTTAAGTATTGTGAATGTTCTGCGCAGCCAGAAGTGGGGATGATGTCCCAGTTAAGTCGAAGATTAGTCGTTTGAAGTTGACATTCGTTATTAAACCAATTACAACTACAATACTTGTTATGAAAGAAATGGAGGATCTGATTTGACTACATGACGAATTCGTTGTGTAAATGAAGCGCGAGTTGAAAAGCGTGGGGCAGCTTTGTCGACCTGGTCGGGTCCCATTTTGTTTTCAGTCATGATAAAGAATCATCCATTCCCATACACACTAGGAGTTATCAATAATATTGTATCAAAATGCTCCCCTTATTTGCCCACAATAGTCGTTCATACCACAGTTGACTTACTCAAATCTCTGGTGTTGTTTGTCGGACCGGATGATGTGGGAGAAACTGTGGCGGTTGCTGCTGATAGGATTTGTGCCAAAGAACAAGGCGGTAGATTTTTGAACAATGTTAGTTCAGGCAATAAAGGCCACGTGGGTAAAGATATGCCGGCCAATGAGTTGCCGTTCGGCTGCATCAGTGGGGAACTGCTGATTGTGGGAAATGGGAAATTCGGTGATGGGAACAAATCCGTGCTGAGTTTATCCATAGTATCCGAAATCACCGCAGATGCGACTGTTCTCGAACAATCGTCATTCTGCTTATTTTGGCTGTTGAAAGATTCACGGAGTGCCTTTTTGAATCGTCGCACATGTAAAGGTTTTTTATCCATTCCAACAAGTTTGAGCAAATCGGCAAATTCTTCCGGCTCTTGTAATAGCTCGACCAACTGCTGAACATCATCACCACCTATTTCACAGGAGAAATAAAGAGATGCAATATTTTCAACAGATTTGAATATGGGTGTGGTTTGTAGCTCAGGTTGATGGTTTGTGGGGTCTTGTGTTCGTTGAGCTTGGCGTTTAGATCGCAAACGTTTCAGCACCAGGCGAGGNCCTCGCCTGGTGCTGAAACGTTTGCGATCTAAACGCCAAGCTCAGCGAACACAAGACCCCACAAAGATGCAATGTGAACATATTGTTTTATCTTCATAAAACGAAATACGTGAACCAAAATAAATCCAGAAATCTGCTCACCATGGTCAATGAATGCTTTATAATACTGAGACAAGTTAGCTCTTTGAAGTAGGAGGAAAACTTCGAACGCTCCCGGAGATTGCCACATCGAGTTCGACCACAGCTCGTTTCGAAGCGGAGCAGCATCCGAATCGCTTTTACGTGTCCTCTCTACTTATGAGTCAGCTTGGGCACTCTGATTGGAGCGCTTCCGTCCGATGTGTGACATGAAGTCCCATCCCGTAACACACACACACACACACACACGCACAGACACAGACACACACAGGCCATGGCACGGGTGATTGTCCACTCAATGGGGTGGAGTTACACGGCATTGATCAGGACAGTGACGCTCATTGAATCACACTCGGACTCCCCCTCCCCGTCTGCTCTGATTTGATAAGTCAATCGGGATGGCCAAAGATAAGCACATAATGGTTACTTCCGTGTCACACTACCCCTTCGTTGAACACAAACACGTACACCCGATCGGTAAGCAAGAGACATGTTTTAAACGCGATGAAGTTACCGGAGTTGGACGGGGGGGGGGGGGNGGGGGGGGGGGGGCTTATGAGAAGGATTTAGATTGGTAATCACTGAAAAACGACAATTCGGTGTCAACCTAGTCCGCGGGTGGGTTCGTCATCACAAAGTTGGATCATTAAGCTATTGAGTCAATCGATGACGCAATTCCCAAGTGTACGGTCTGATAAATGTTTGGCGGATAAACATTTGGATAGGCTGGAGGGGGGTGGCAGAGTTGAGCATCGCTGTGAACCAACGATACGATTAGATCACCATCAGGAGAAACCAGTTCAACAGCTAATGATCCTTCTACTTCTAACTCATGCACATGAACATGAGCTAATGGATTGTTCAAGTTTTATCGGTTGGTAGAATTGAAGAAGTTTTCACACATCCAGGGAGACTGAAATCCAGTCTACGAACAATCCGGATAGCTCTGGAGCTCATGTGGTGGATTTCAGAGGTGTGGATGACTCTGGATCTCGTGATAATTGGTTGGCATGAAAACCTCAGGCATTACGCACGAAATGCGAGTGCGGGAATTCACCAACTTCGGAGTATCGTTGCAAAACGTTGACTGTCCATTTTGTTGTATCTTCAAGTGTATCTACTCTAACCAATCCATGTGTGAGCCGTCTTTTG